AGTCTGCTATTTTTAATTACTGTGTGTCATGTAGATAAATCTTGGGCAAAGACCAGTTGTTCTCAGATAAACCTTACCTAGACTTAAATTTCTTGATCTGGTATGTATAATTTGTCAGTAGGCTGTTGTATTAATATGGTTCCCTCTGATTTTTAAAACTAGCTAGGCATTGTTTATCTCTCGCAATGTCTCACCCCTCCATCATGGTTTTCTCACTTAAGGTGCCCCCATTTCCCCCCTTTCTCCCTTACTAAACCCTTCTCCTATGGGCCTACCTCTCTTGAGCTTCTTTCCCTCCCTAGGTTCCTTGTATACCCTTCCCTCCTCACTCCTGTGTTCATGCCAAAAGAGGCTAGGCCAGGATCTGACTAACGCCAGGGGTCTTTTTTGATAAATCAGAACACATGGTACCAGTCACAGTTTGTATCTCAATGATCTGCAAATGGACACTGATAAGACACTTTTTCATCTTAGTTTTCTTAGTATTTATGCCTTAGTAAAGCATCTCTTAGTTTTGTGACTTACGGTATTGTTATTATTTTGAAAATATTTTATTATTTAAAAACTTTTTATGTGTATAAGCATATTGCCTGCATATATGTAAGTGCAACCCATGTGGTGCAGTGTTTGTGAAGGTCAGAAGAGGGTGTTGATCCCCTGGAACTGGAGTTACAGATATGGTTGTTATCTGCCATGTGGGTGCTGGGAACCAAACCCAGGTCCTCTGCAAGAGCAGCCAGTGTTCTTAATTGCTGAGCCACCGCTCCAGCCCTTAATATTATATTTTTCAAAAGAAAGCAATTTTCATTTATTTACGAAGATTTTTGTGAAATTCTATATTCCCACAAGTAATCGTAACAGTCAGGTTGCAGGGCACCGTGTCAGAATATGACCAGTATACTTAAGTGATTAAGGAATTGGTAATACTAAAATTCATTCAGTATTTACACATAATTTGATTTCCTTGCTGTGCTCATAAAAGGGGGTCAAACTATAATCTTTCGAGTGACTATAAAAATATACACCATTCACCAAACCACGTATTGGTTCATTTTGTTCCATTAGCAGGAGTGGTATTAATATTTTAAAATGTCCTCACATGGAAACAACCTATCTTGGGCTTCTGTGAGCAGGAGCAGAGGCATGTATGGCATGTGCGGTTGGATACTGTTTCATTATCTGGGAGGCCTCACTGCTTTCTAATTCTATTATTTATCCTTGATTTAAATTTATTTGCCTTGCATTGATCTAGTGGGTCTTCAAGATATTTGTGAGAAACAAATGCTTTCATGTTTATGTTTTAACTTGTATTGATTTGTGTATGATTTGAAAATATCCCAAAGTCAATCTTGTCAAGTTATTTATTTATTTTTTGGTCTTTTTGAGACAGGGTCTGCCTGTAGCCCCAGCTGACCTGGAACTCACTATGTAGACCAGGCTGGCCTTGAACTCACAGAAATCTGCCTGCCTCTGCCTCCCAAGTGCTGGGATTAAAGGCAAGCAGTACCACGCCCCGCACCAAGTGGGAAAATTGGCATACATATTGACTTAGACACAGAGGATTTTTAAATAAACATGTGTTTACCATACCACTGGGGACTGAACCTAGATCTTGCATATATTAGGCAAGTGCTGTACCACTGAGTCAGACCTCCAGCCCAATCATGTATGTTTAATTCTTTTTAAGACTGGAGTTGGGTGGCAGGGTTGTCATAGTGACAGGGATATCATTTAAGAATAACTTTCATTTCTTCCGTATGAAATGATTTCACATGAGAGGAACAACTGATTTTCCCACTTACCTCTGGAGTAGGAGCCCTGTGAGTCCTCCCAGAGCAGCAGACTGCCTGCCAATGATGTTTGTCTACATGTATCTTGAGATGATAATTATGGAGACCAGACACTGTGGTAGGCCCTGTTCAAAGGGCTTTGGACTTAGAATTTAGCGATCCAGTTCTGGATGGATGAATGGAGTATGGACAGATGAAGGAAAGATGGGTGGATAAATGGAGGGAAGGCAGATGCATAGATGGAGGATGTATGGAGGAATGTGGTTATCTATGAATCACCATTGTGTAGAGGAAATCACAGTGATTTCAGAGTATTCACAGAACTCTAGTTCAGATCCTAGCTTTTCCATTCACTAGCTGGGTAACTTTAGCTGAGTCTCCTAACCTGCAGTCTCCATCTGTAGTATAGAGATAGCTTGGAAGATTATTAAAAAAATGAAAGTATTCAGTGCAAATTTTAATGTCTGTTACTACTACCATTTGTTGAGAACTCTTTTAACCTTGGGTTTGTCTTCTTTTGAGCACTGTGTTCCCAGAGAAGGTGGGGCTGGAAGTACAGTGGATTATAGATGAGTGGTGGTCCTGGCTATGGGAGTGGGCAGAGAGTCACCCATAACCCTGATGTCTGTCTCTTCCCCAGCTGTGATGGCCTTCCTCTTTGACCTGAAGGACCTGGTGGACCTCATGTCCATTGGCACTCTCCTGGCGTACTCTTTGGTGGCTGCCTGTGTGTTGGTCTTACGGTATGTATGACTTTTCTGGGTTCCATGATAGAAGTAGTTCCCTTATTGTTGCTGTTTTACAGTTCTGATGAATGGTTCTATGATTTAACTTTTAGGCCGTGTTAGCTCAACTGGGAGCCACTAGTAGAAGGTGGGATGAGGTTTATTGGATGTTCTGGAATGAGTCACTTGCCCCCTTATCATGTCCCTTATTTTTCTAGTTAGCTATTAGGAGCATGTTTGATCTGAGTCTGGGATCAGAATTTTTGAAGCCTTAGGGCAATGACTTCAGTTAGGCTAATTGTTGGGATATGGATCATGGGGACTAGCCCTAGAAGGCATCAGGAGGATCTAGAACATATGAAACCAGGTCAATGTGATGCTTCTGTAGGCTGCTTGTACTGTGGCTGGGGAGTGGACATGGTGTGGTGTGGTGTGCTCAGAGACACCATCCAGGTTCTAGTTGTTTGTATGTTGAGGACAGGCATTAGAATGGCTGCAGGGCTGCTGAAGCTTGGTACCTTGGTCCTCAGTCACTCAGAACCTTCCCAAAGCACATCACTGTGCTCCATTTTTGCTTGGATGTGGAGGAATGAGGATCTGCTGTAGGATGGCTGGAGATGGTATTCATCATGAAAACATGTGCTCATGGTGACGAGTGTTTGTCAGCCAGCAAGAGTGTCCTTTTTTTCAGGTATTTCTATTTAGAAGGCCACTGGCTCCATTTCCAGTGTGCCCAGCACCTAATTTGCATAAAAGCTGGGCTCATCCCCACTAGTGACTTTGCAGAATCAGCATTCCCAGAGGCTCAACACTAGAATGTTCTTTGAGGTCCTTGTGCTTTCTTAATTGGTCAAATTATGTTGCACAAGTGAGTCAGTGCAAAAATGGTTAACTGTCTTTGTGCTTACTCTTAGAATTGATTAAATGCAAAGCAATTCAAAAAGAACTCTGCTTTCAAAGCTGGTGGGAAAGATTTGCACTGAGTTCTTGTGGGGTAGGGAGATAAGGAACCTCATTTAAAGGGATGCTTCACTTGTAGGGAGCCTGTGTCTTAGAAGTCTTGCCACAGGCTCATTCTTCACCCAGCTCTATAGGCACTTATACTTTTAGAATACATTCGTCCAATTAGGTCATGCAGACAGAGCTTAGCAAATCCATCAGCCTGTAGACACCACTCTCTAGTCTTCTGCAGCAAGTGTAGTCCTGGCGTTACTGCTTTTTATCTCTGTCCTGACTTTGAGCTCTGCAATCATGGCTTAGTGAGAAATGTCCTAACATTGTCACATCCAAGGGCCACTGCTATTTCTCTGAGCAAGAGATCCTCTTCTCCTCTCTCCTACATTTCACTGGACTGCTTCACAGTAGCACTCATGCTGTCCTGAAAATGGGGACACCAAGGCTGAGTAGTGGCTCCAAGAAGGACTTGGGCCTGTCATCTGTTGCTGCATTGCTAAAGAGTGCCATTCTGACTTTCCGCTGCCCATTTATGTCCCCTCTCCCAGACAACTTACCTTTGAAGTCTTTTTGAGAATGTAAACTGGTGCCCATCTTTTCCCTCTGTGAAAGCAGATTATAGTGCTCATGCTGCGGACATGTCTTTATAGGTACCAGCCAGAACAACCTAACTTGGTATACCAGATGGCCAGAACCACAGATGAGCTAGATCAAGTAGACCAGAATGAAATGGTGAGCGCCAGTGACTCCCAGACAGGCTTTTTACCAGAAGCAGAGAAATTTTCTTTGAAAACTATACTCTCACCCAAGAACATGGAGCCCTCCAAATTCTCAGGGCTAATCGTGAACATTTCAGCAGGCCTCCTAGGTAAGAGTGCACCTTTTCCTGGTTAGGAGTTTGGGGTCTTGCTTGTTGTTGTGTGGCTTCTTGTCCATAAAGGTGAGAATAGGGAGGGAATGGGGAAGTTTCTGGAGAAGATGAATATCTGTTTTGGTTCCCAATTGTGACATCAGGTTTCCTATCCTAATTCATTCTAGAGATAGGGAGCCTCCCTTTGAACAGGATTTGGGGAGCTACGTATGGGATTTTCACCCCTCTTTTGCTCTTAGCTGTTCTTATCATCACCGTGTGCATTGTGGCTGTGCTTGGAAGAGACGCTCTGGCCAAAGGGGCACTGTGGTCAGTCTTTGTGGTCACAGGATCATTCCTCCTCTGCATGCTAGTGACAGGTGTCATCTGGAGGCAGCCTGAGAGCAAGACCAAGCTTTCATTTAAGGTGAGCACCTCTCTCTAACAGGCCTGGAGGGGATATGCTGGAGGTCACAGATATGGTCTTGCCACTGGGAAACTGACCCCATGTGCCTGAGCCAGACCTGGGAGTTCAGGGGTCCTCCTGCCAGTTAGCTTCAGAGTGTGTCACTGGGACCCTCAGAGCACAGAAAACCTTGCTAAGATAGGGCCTGGCTCTGTCCCCGTTGGTTCTTAGTAGGGGGCACCTTGTCTCCAGGGACTTCTTGTAAATGTGCAAGTGGATTGCATGGCATTGCCAGACCTTAGAGGTGATCAAGGCTTCTGAGTTTTTCAAATAATAAACAAAACAGTTTAACCTTAGAGATAAAATGGACATCCTTCTTCTAGTCCTTTTTTTTTTCATGAGAATAACGAGAAAAGAACACCAGAATGGGCTGTTAGTCTTAGCTCAAATTCCCACCTATTGGGCTGTAGCTGTATATGTTGGGAGAAGGCATTTGGGTTTGCCCCCTCTCATGAGATCTGATACCATCTCTTCTCTGCAGGTGCCCTTCCTCCCTGTGCTTCCCATCCTGAGCATCTTCGTCAACGTTTATCTCATGATGCAGCTGGACCAGGGCACGTGGGTCCGGTTTGCAGTGTGGATGTTGATAGGTGAGGTCATGGGGTTTTGTGGAGTGAACACATGCAGTATCCCACCTTTTCCTGGGACTTCCTCTGCAGGGCTGCTCATTTGTCCTTCCTGCTCTTTGGTTGGATAGTTTATGTTACACAGCCTGCCTCCTTCCACCTTACATAACACAAAGAAACATGAATGGTCAGTGGCTTGGTCTAAAACAATGTGGAACCAGGTTGTAGGACCTCCTTCCCCTTTAGATACTTTTCAGTTAACAGTGTTGCCCAAGTTCGTTAGCTCACCAGGCAGGAGCTTGAGATTAAAAAGCACAAGGTAGAAGGACTGTTAATAAGGAATCATTACATTTAGGAAGTCTGGGCTGTGTGGACTATAGGCTCTCCAGATCTCTGCTGGCAGTAGTCGTCTCCTTAGAAGAGAAGCACTTGGGCAAGAGGTGTTGCCAGAACAGGAGGTTATTGATGGGATGACAGCTCTTGTTTCTGACATGTGACAACCAGAGCTTGGTGTAGCCTGTGGACCACAAGGATGTCTAGGCTTACCTGCTCAGGTGCTGGCCTGCCATCTCTAGGGCTGATAGTCCACCTCCATCTGGGTGTCTGACCCTGGGGCTGGAGGAGCTGAACTTAGTCCTCCCAGAGTGTGAGGTCGTTTCTTGGGTCCCAGATGTTTGAGCCCTTTAAGATTGAGCTCCTTGGCCACCTTGTGGGTGGTTTGGTTCCAGTTCCCATTGCAGACTTGGGGAGTACTGGATGCTGAGCTAGCACTGTGCATTCTATACCAAATTCATGCCCCAGTGTTCAGTGGTCACTTGTATGTAAAACAAAAAGCAGAGGCAGTAGGCCTGTCTAATCAGAATACCTGCTTGAAATCCCATCTTAGTAAGGAGCAGTGTCTCTGATATTCTGAAGTCACCTAGGGGTGGATAACAGCCCAGTGCTCTCTGTGGCCTTGCACCTAGCCACTTGTGGAGGCCACAGTGTGGGACTACCCAAAACATATAGTTCTGCTAGGGTAGAAGCAGGACAGTGACCTTGGCTGACAACATTTGAGGCTCTGTGTTGCCTCTCCAGATGTAGAAGTCTGCCTGAGTAGCCCCCTGTGGCTCCCGAGCTGTCTGAGTCTAGCTGTCCTGTCTGCTCTGTTCATACTTCTGTTCTCTCTCCTGCAGGCTTCGCCATCTATTTTGGTTATGGACTGTGGCACAGCGAGGAGGCATCACTGGCGGCTGGTCAGGCAAGGACTCCTGATGGCAACTTGGACCAGTGCAAGTGACGTGCAGCCCCACCCACCACGGTGGCAGCATTTGAGGGATGATGGTAGAGGCCTGGGGCCCTCAGTCTCTCTCCTCCCATGCCGCAAGAACTGCTTACATCCCCAATGTCACCAAAGATGCAGTGAGTTGACCTGCAGCCTCAGCCACAGCTGACATGGCCTGGCCAGACTTAGCTCTGCAGCCAGCTCATGAGGTTCTGGACAGCTCCTTGACCTGGGCCATTATTCATGTATCTCCTCACTTCCCTCTGAGCAAAGAAAGCAACCCCCCTCCCTGCCAGCTGGGCACCTTGCTGCTGTAGCAGAGAGGCCTCCCTTCTCTCCTTACTTGGGATGCAAGCCTCCTTTCCTGGGACCACTCCGGTATTACAAATGTGCATACTCCAGACCATTATTAAGTACCTCCCTGTCAGCCCAGGACAGCCAACTGACGACAGATACAAGATGAACATCACAAGACAGCATGTCCCCTGCAGTGCTACCCAACAGCCAAGCAACTGACTTCAGGATACCTAAAAAGGAAGCACAGGCCCTTATCTTCTGCTTCTTCTCTAGACTGCTTTCAGAATGGATTGGTAGGAATGGGCCTCTGTCCACACATCCTCTCCCAGCCACTGACACTGTGACAGACTCCATCTCAGTAGAGAACAGGTGACTTAGAAGATGGGAGGGGCTGAGTAGGAATGAAAATGTCAGGGTGGGGAAGGTTCACTCTGCTCACAAGTAGGCATGTATACCAGGGGACATTTTCTAGGCCTGTGCTCTGCAGGCCTATATCAGTTCCTGCTCTTGGCACCTGTCTCTGCTTGGCTGGGTGTCCTGAGTAACTGGAACACGAGACTGTATTAGTAGGTCTGAACTCTCAGTGGCAGGGTTTAGAACTCTGTTTTCTGTGGGTCTTTGCCATTCTTTGTCAGTCTCTTGAGTCTTCTAAGGCTCTTAAGACAGGTGGCAGCTCAATGTGGGGTGCTGATGCTTGTGGCTGCTGACGTGGTCTGTGTGGCCTCTTAGGTATAATGAGCGCTGTGGAGTCCTGTTGACTACTGTGAATCACTCCACCAAATTAAGTTAGGGCTTAACGTTACCTTGGAAAATAGCCAAATAATTGCTGCGTGCCATCAGCTTGGGATTCAAAGTGTGTGGTCTGCATGTGAGAACAGCCTTTGGCTGTTCTTCTTGTGACCTCTGCCCTGCCCTGGACCTCGTGCTCCTCTCCTTTGCTTGCACTTCCCTTCCCTCACTCCCCTCAGCTCTGGATGGGGCCTGGGGCCTGCACCATTTCATATTATGTGGACACAAGCCTCAGGAGAGACTGCTGATGGAGCCTCACTTTCCCTAGAGCCGCTCAGAGCCAGCAGGCCCTGGTATTGGGGTTGGGAAGGACAGCGTTTGAGACTGATGCAAATGCTGCTTTTGAAACTAAGTTAATCATTTCTTTCCCTTCTGACCTTTGATACAAAGCTAGTAGAAATAAGTTGGATAAATTGATGGCACTTGTCTCCCCCCACCACTCTAAAATGTTCTTGGAAATGCAGGTTAGTGAAACTGGGCTGGTGTGTAGCACTTGCCTGGCATACACAGGTCCTGGGTTTCATCCCCAGCACTACAAAAAATTGGAAAATTAGTGAAATAGTTTAAAGGCTGAATCAGTTAGTGGAGGGCAGCTGGGAGGCCAAGAGCTGGGCCTTCATACCAGACCCAGACCACCTTGCAGGAAGCTTTGTTCCAAAGGTCATCTGGGAATATTTCAGAGAGTATTATAGGACCTCAAAGGTTGAGTTTCCAAAGAAAGGTATTTAAATTTATGTAGATTGGTGCTGTAAAATATTTTGATAAATATTAACTTATTTTATTGGGGTTTTGGTCATCTGTTAATCGTCTTAGGACCTCTTAATTGGATTTTTCCTCTGTTATTTTTCAGTGTAGACAGAACAGGAGAGAAAGAGGGTGCCCAATGAAGCATTGGGAGAAGTTTTTTTTAATGTTGGTTTCTTTCTTGAGACAGGGTTTTGCTCTAGCTGGCCTAGTAGTCACTGTTGTAGCCCAGACCAGCCTTGAACTGGAATTCCTGCCTCAGCTTCCTGCGTGCTAAGATTATAGACATGAGCTACCACGCCCGCCTAACCTTAATTTCTTTCTGGCTGAAAATGCTCTGTATGAGGCAGCACCCAACAGTGTGTTTACGGCTGACATCAACTAGCAGCCTATATTCTACAAAGCAGAAAGGTGCATTTTGGGGTTTGATCCTCTGATGTCTGTCCTGAGGATAGCTGACAGTTGCAGATCTGCCCTCCTCTTTTCACTGTGTGTGACACAGAAGCACACACAGGTCCTGGAGGTGGGCACCCTGCCCCCTCCTTGTTGGAGGAACTTCTAGTCAGGAAAGGACACCCAAGGTTGACTTGGTCACTTTGGTCAAGTTGATTGGTCACTGTGCTTTTAGTAAGAGTAGAGTGTTGTGGACAGTTGCTGGGGGATTTTCTTCTTGGTACAGGAGCAGTGACATTCGTAATGGTGTCTGGGTTGACCTCATACTTCTAATATGCTTTTGCATATATCCCCAGTTCCTTCTGAGAGAAAAATACACAGTCCAAAAAACAACACACAAAACAGACACACACACACAAATTCCCCCCCCCTCTCTCTCTGACCAGTAGTTCCATATCTTTTAACTTCCTGTCCAAATAACTTTATTCTCGTTTCAAGGCTTGATCAGTATTTCCTACCTAGTGTGGACTTTATTCTAAAGACACATACCATGCCACATTGATCTTCCCCCAGCTGCAAGTATTCACATTGGAAAGACCAGTTTCTCCATGAGTGCATGCCCTTCCTGTCTCTGGACCCAAGTACATGAAGAAGCCAACACAGTAGAGCCTCCCAGGAGCTCTGTTCAGGAGTGGGGTACAAGATGTCTCTACCTTCCAGAAAGTGGCCTTCTAGTGGGGAGGGGACTGTCCAGAGAGACACCAGCCCTCTGTGTCTTTGCACCCAAGCACATGCACATACCCATACCCCATCCCTGACCACATACACCCTCTAGCCAGGCCTTTGAGGGGTGGATTGATTTTGTAGAGGAAGGGAGAAGTAAACTCCTTTCCCAGGTGGTTTCTGAGAAGTTGTTGGGCTCACACTGTTCTCAGTTGCTCACGTTTTGGTTTTACAGTGGCATACTCTTTGCACTGCCCTTCATCTCCATCTGGCAGTCAGCCATCTGGGCCCATGTGCTGATGAAGTGGTATGGATACCATATGCTGCCTACCTGCCTGTGCCTTGGGAGCCGGAAGTGAGTGCAGGACAGTAGGGAAGCCAGACTCCTCCACCTGCCCCTAGTGGCCAGTGCCCTGCACACTCCCTCCTGTACATTTAGCACAGCCAGTGTGTGCACACGAGGGAGTACATGGCCTGCTTCATCCTGGCTACTGCCTGCTGCTTCTCATGTGTGGAGCTGGGAAGTCCAATGGGCATGGCTATTCCCTTATCCATGACCTCAGGTCAACTTCCAGAACTAGCTAATGTTCTGTCTCCCCTAGTGGGGGGACTTGCCTAACACTGGGTGAAGCTTGGAGAAAGCAGTGTGAGAGACTGGATTCCTGGGGTGAGCATGGACATGTCCCACAGGGCTTTTCACACTTGCAGGCAAAGTGATGGGGGAACTGCTGGTCTGCTTACCTAGCCATAATGAAAACCTGCCAGGTTCCTGCCAGGGCCCATCTTTTCTGGCTTGAATATCCCATGTCTCCATAGATACTTGTTTCTTTTTAATAAGAGCCAGTGCTTCTGCCGGCACCTAAGAGCTGGTGCCAGGAAGACTAGGAATGAGGGACTGAGGTGCCAGGGTGCCTATTCCTTGAGGTGGATGGTGGAGAAGGATATTTAAATCCATGTTTGGTTGGGCTCCTAGAGGAGGGAGTCTGGACAGACTACACATGACATTTATATATGGAGCTGTTAGAGTTCAAATTCAGACAGAACTGAATATGTTATATACAGTTATTTTGTATAATTTAAACCATATTTGTTTGCTATCATAATGAGGATTCTATGTAAGGCTCCTAAGGCAGAACGAGATGTACATTTTGTCAGGCTTGTTTTGGGTCATGAAATACTTTACTGACACAGTGGTGCAAGATGCTACACTCCATATGCTAAAGTGGTTATGATGCCTAATGGTTTATTTTTAAGGAAAACAAATCTACCAAGCGGCTTTCATCTTCATCACTCTAATCCATTCTTTTTGTGCCGTTGCTCCATTGAGTTGGGGGTGTGGTTGTGGCCAAAGGCCTTGGGGCACAGTGACCAAGGAGCCCTCCTGGATCATCCTGGTCATGTTTTGAACTGCTAGCTACAAAGCCCAGGAGAGATGAAAGACCAAGTAGATGTTCTCAGGGCGCTGGTGTGTCCAGCAGGGCCAGGAAGCAGGGCTTAGGAAGACGTATCCAGACTTATTTATTACCAAGGGATACGGTTTTGTGTTCCTTGACAAACGTTTGAGTTTGGGACTTATTGTCCCACTTGAAGAGTTATTTTATATATATA